CTTTCTAAATTTGCAGAAAAAAAATTAATGTGCAATAGAAAATAAAATCAAGATATTTTCAGATGAATTAATATATAAATTACATACACTGGTGAATTTGTATTTTTTTAATATCAGATAAGATTTGTAACTTTTATAATTTAAATGATGTGCCACAGGAAAAGATAATGGTCCATATGTAGCTCTTCATTGAGGATCAGTAAGGGCACTAAAATTAGGAGCTTTGTACAGTTTAGAATGTAAATTTCAGGTGAAGGACTCATAGAGAGGGACAGATAAAAATAAATGATTATAATGTGAGCATGAGCTTTTGAAAGGCTAAAATAAAACAATTTTAAGAAAGATTTGACATATTTTATGGAAAAGGCTATGAGCCATTGAGAATTTTTAAAAAGAATCATTTTGAGGCCATTTTGAGGTACACTATACAAGGATAGAAATAATATACTGTTTGTTCAAACGCCTATCCCCAATGACCATCTTTTGCCAACCTTTCGGACCTCAGGGACCACCAAACTCATAATTTTAAATCCCATGGAGCAGAGACCCTGGGAAAATCTCCAAAAAAGTCTGCAGAAAAATTCCCCACCCTGTTTTCCTACAAATCGATCATTCTTTATTTGGGATCACAGGATACCATCTCCAGCTCCATTCTCAGGGGGAGAAACAGAGAGAGAAAAGACTTTTGATTTCATGCAAGGAAAGCAGCAGAAGCAGCAGAAGTCTTTCTTTCTCTCCCCCAAATTCCACCAGAAATGAGTCTTTGCCGGCGCAGCCTCTTGGAGCAGGATGCCTTGTAGGGTCCCAAAGACTCATTTCTGGCAGAGTTTGGGGGAGAGAAAGAAAGACTTTTGCTGCTTTCCTTGCATGCAGCCAAAAGCAGAAGAAGTGGAAAGAAGCAGCTTGGTAGCCAGGCAAGGTGCATGGGATGAGTGGGGCAAGTTCCCCCCCCCGTCCTTCCCCCCCTGCCCTCACCACCTTGTGTTGTTCGCGATGCAAGCGATGCAAGCTGTTATGTCCTGAGAACTCTAGGAGTTCTCACTCAGGTCCACTCACTTTGTGTGGGCGTTCTTCCCCCTTTCCTCATTGGTTGGTTCTCCCCAGCAGCCAGCTATAAAAGCAGGCTGCGGGGTCCAACCAGTTGCTGATTGCTGCGAGCCAGTTCCAGGCGTGGCAAGCACGGTCAGCCCTTTATTGTTATAATAAAGTATTGTTGCACTCATGCTCTGGTTCAGCCTCTCTTTTCCCAAACTTAACACAAGCCTTGTGTTCCCATGGGTTATGTGGACAGCACAGCCTTGTGTTCCCGCCCAGCCTGGATTTATTGCTTTGGGGAGTTCTTTGGGGGTAACATTTCTCTGTGGACCACCAAAATTTTCTCGCAAACCACCAGTGGTCCCCAGCCGACTGGTTGGTGACCACTGATCTAATTTTTGGAGAGCACAGATGCCTATTGTAAATGAACAGAGTAAAGATAAATGGTTTAAAAGTGCAATCACTGGTTACAAACCAAGCAACTTTGCTTAAATTGCATACATTGTGATATAAAATGGTTTAAAACAGTTAACTGCTGGTTCCTGTACTAAGAAAACATGCTTAGTTTTTATACATAAAAATTTTCAAATAATTTTACGAATATGACTACAAGTTAAAAAAAACTGCTTAGTCAAAAACTTCTACTCGTATAAGAATTGCTATATCAAAGAAACTATTAAAAGCAGAAAGACTATTTAATATTTTTCTATTTCACTACAGACCCATAACAAAATCCCATGAGAAATAACCATTTCCTTAATTACTTTATTTTTCATGTCTCTTTTCTTCCTTCAGTTTCACAGTTTAAGTTTCTGGAGCCAGGAATTAGTTTTCATATACTGAAAAATACCATTCATACCAACTGAGATAACACCAAGTTTAAAAATCTTTAGTCATCAATAACAGATGTCAGTGCCTTTCAATTATTAAAGGAATATATAGCAGTTCCTGAACAGATATCTATCCAAGCTTCAAGCTATTTTTTTCACCTCACTTTTCAAAGGGAAAAAGAAAAACCTCCCAGCAGCATATGTTCCCCCCAGGAAAAAGATGATCACTAATCAAGATAGCATCAGAATTTAAAATACTCAATTCTAGATTGGCTTTTGTATGTAGTAACATAGTTTTCCACAGTATTTTCTTAGGAATTCTCCTGCATTTTCTTAAACTTTCTGTTCCTTCATCTCTCTAAACTGATGCTTATATTCAGTTTTCTCTCCATACCATTTTAGGTACGGTAAACACAATTTGAGTTCACCTGTGTAATGTTATTCACAGGACCTCCTATGCCAATGCCCACTCTAGTTAGTTAGCTAGTCAATTATTATACCACTAAAATCATACATTTTGTGGTGGTAGGTAAAGGTTCCCCTTGCACATACGTGATAGTCGTTTCCGGCTCTAGGGGGCAGTGCTCGTCTCCGCTACAACGCTGAAGAGCCAGCGTAGTCCGAAGATGTCTCCATGGTCAGTAGCTGGCGCACAGAACTCTGTTATCTTGCCACCAAAGTGGTCCCTATTTTTCTACTTGCATTTTTATATGCTTTCAAACTGCTAGGTTGGCAGAAGCTGGGACAAGTAATGGGAACTCACTCTGTTACGCGGCACTAGGGATTCAAGCCATTGAATTGCCAACCTTTCTGATTGACAAGCTCAGAGTCTTAGCTACTGAGGCACTGCATCCCTTTGTATACAGTCATAAAAATATAACACAACTCAACAGTAAAAATTCAGCACAAAAAGTAAAAAAAAAAGTACATTACAAATATAATGGTGCCAGCTGGCATGGTAGACCTCTCAAAAACCACCAACACCATCTTGGTGGCCTTTGAAAATATCATCTCAGTCAGCACCAGGATGCAAGCAATTTAAAGCTGTTAAGCTTTTGATAAACTTATAAATATATAAACTAAGCTTATACCAAAACTTTGAATTGTATCTGGAAACCAAATGAAAACAATGCAGCATTGCAATAAGGCTATAATGGCTCTCACTCAACAGCATATATAACACACGGTGTCTATTGCAATTTCCAAATAGTCTTTAAAGATAGCCCCAAGCATCTTATCTGAATTGCAGACATTCATCCTGACAGCACTGAGGGCAATAGTTACATCACTACAACCTTTCATTCCAGGCATGGTATGGCCACAACTAGTACAACAGTCAAAACTGGATAAAGGGGGCCTGGCTATAGCCTCCACTTTCTCTTTTACTGGTAATAAGTATAAGTCCAGGGAGCTATCCAATGCATGGATATCCAAGTCACTTTATTTAGAGAAACAGCAGAATTAATCAAAGAATCAGGTATTGTCTAGACACGTTGCAAATCTGGCTTGTTAAGATTTAACCTCAGCTTCTTTCTTCCTGTCCAGATCCACACAGTCTCCAAGCACAGTATGAGATTTCCATAGCATCATTACAGGCAATTGAGGATGACAGCATGATATATGGTATCAAACACAGCTGAGGGACAATCAAGAGGGGTACAGTCTAGCAATCCAGGTCTTAGCAAGTGTTGCTTGACAGATCTTAATTAGATTATTTCTTGAGTCATTCCTCCAGAGCAATTTCAGACAACATAAACAAAATCCTATTATTATTCCTTTTATCAGCCATTTCCCATCTAGTGACTTAACAGCAGCGGTTTGGATCATACCGGTAGTTACAATGAGGGGGGCATGCACATGTGCATTTACATTTTTGGTGAACTGGTTGTTACTGTATGTGCAGCCTACCTCGGCTTAACAGTATCTTCAGAACATCCACTATATTGCGGAAGTGATTTTTTAAAAGCCTATCTTCTTTATTATTATTTTGGCCTAAAATAGTTAGATGATTCTAGAAAACACTACAAGTTGCTAGCAGGAACGAATTCAGAATTCTAGAATTCAGGTTTTATTGCCATTATTTAGACTTGATGTTACCTTGTCAACAAGGTGTTTAATATGAAAAAGCTAACAATAAAAAAATAAATGTTAACTGTAATCAGATACAAAAACAACAATAATAAGAACAATAATGGATTTATAGAAATGAAACATACTGGTTGTGCTTTTTCACGATATACATGATACTAGAGTCCTTTGAAAACCCAGTCCTCAAACACATAAACTTTCTGTATAATTTTGATGCTATCTTTTTTTTATTTTATCCCATGATATACTAAGAAAATAGTTTTTCTATAGTTTTTCAAAGCAAATGTGGTGTACTAGTTTGCATATATGTTAACATATTGACTGAAATTAGCAACAAAAAATAAAAGAAGACTCTTGAAGAAAATATGTGAGTATTACAGTTTCTACAGGATAATCCTACACAATTACATTCCCAGAAAGAACTTGCAAGTGCTTCAGTTCTCAGGACTGTCTTTCATCTGCTTCCCTGTACTGTTTTCTTTTCCAGACTGCCTGTAGTACATCTTACTTAATTGGAAATAGTTCTACATACTTTCATCAGATGCTTGATACAATTCTTTATATTCATTGGAAAGAAAGGCACAAATGTATGATTGGATATTTTTTGGACAAAAGCCAATTTACTGTTAGTGTGATGATTTTGGACAGAATTTAGATAAGCATACCTAACAGCCCTGCTGTTTATTTCTTCCATTTATTTCATCTCTCCAGGGTAATATTTCACAAGCTTGATAGATATAATAAGTCATGTAGAGCTGACTGTTTTGCCATTCTGATAGATAGTTGAGTCAACTATTAACATTTACACGCATAGCCTTTGTTTACATTCCTGAACATTTAATTTCCAGTGAAACTTGGTGCAAATGCTTGCATCATCCACAAATTATAAATGGGAATAGAAATGAATTTTCATCTCATTCCTCTTCAAACCTTTTCATATCTTACTGTTTTAGCCACTTGTATGGCTTTGAAGTGATCTCTGAATGTAGGCAGAAGAACTGAATGCGTTCATGGCAGCAATGTTGTCATGGCAACATTGAAGAAGAGGGACCCAGCATTTAGAAACTTACAAACAGGTAAATATACCCAGAAACACAGAACAAAGGTTGGTAGCTGTGCATATTATAAATCATGAATGAAGTCTGCTTTTTACTGTTTCATTTTATGCAGAGAATTTGATCGTGTAATTTTACTCATATTTTACAAATTTGTCTTCACAAATATAGTTCACTTTTAAGGCAACCTGAAATTGACAGTGGACATGGACAAATGTGTTCCCTGGTTGTGTTAATCAGCCTCTTACAAAAAAGCTCTGTGGCAGAGAAAGACATTGATAAGTGTTTCCAAATGCCAAGTAATGTTTTGGGGAACATAAGATTCAAAAAAATTACATTTCCTATCAGTAAACTTCTGAAAATATTCTCTGCTGCCTTTAGAGATAAATTTGTTAATTTGGGATACAGTTATATGTCGGACTTTCAGCTTTCATCCAGCTGTATTTCAAAAATTACCAAGGGAGTTAGAACTTGTAGGAAACCAAAGTTAAAAACAGAATCGGTACCAATAGCATAGAGAGCCAGATGTTGTTTTCCCCATCTTAAAAATGTGGAACAGAATGCCTCTGAAGTGCAGATAGTTCAACTTCATGGCTTTCTGGAAGATGGTGCAAACATGGTTCTTCCAAATGGCCTTTGGGCATTAGTTGTGCACAGAATTCTATAATTTTAGCCTTTTATCTTTAATTACTATTTTAACTAATTTCTTTTCTGTTTTTATTATACACATTGAATAAGCTCAATGTCTATAGTACATTGTCAGGTAGGGTCAGCTTGGTCTCAGTCTGTCAGGTGAACTTCATAAATAAACATTTTAATTTCTGAAAAGTAAATGAAGATAATTGCACCACTTATTAGATAGAATGAGAACCAGTGTAGTGTAGTGGGTAAGGCATCAGGCTAGAAACTGGGAAACCATGAGTTCTAGTCTCACCTTAGACACAAAACCAGCTAGGTGAACTTGGGCCAAGCACTTTCTGTCAGCTAGGAAAGAAGCAATGGCAAACCATTTCTGGAAAACTTTGCAAGGAAAACTGCAAGGGTTTGTCTAGATAGTCTCCTAGAATCAGTCATGACTGAACAGAAGTAAACAATGAGAAAACCCAAATTACTGGATTCACACATTACGCTAAACCATAATGTGGTTTCGTATGGCATGTCTTTGTTTTGTTTTGTTTGGTTTGGATTGGATTGGTTTGGCTTTGGTTTTGACCTAAAGTTATCTATGAAACCCACCATTATGGTACCCACCATTGTGGTAACCATGTCAATATTTTCTATAAATAACAAACTGATTCAAACACACTTTGATTTCACATGATTTGGGGACCCATCTGTCGAATGCACAGTCCAACAGCTGTACACTTTAATATTGCATTTGCAAAAGGAGTGTGTTATATTACCCTTGATATTTAGAAGTAGCACATAAAGGTGGTATCCATCTTTTGAATTTGCACCCACCATTTAATATTTAGAAGTACAGTATCTCTGTATTAATTTTCATGATGATTAATAGATAGTACATTATAGGAGTGTTATCTAAACATATTGACAGTCTCATCCTACTGGTCTATCCCCTTTAACATCTTAACCCAGCATTTAGTTTTCACCTTGTGCTAAATATCAGACCATTACCTATCATTATTTTCTTTCCTGCAACTATTTTGGTCAAACTCTCATGCAACCTTTTACCTTTTACCAATTCAATGATGTGATCATTCACCTTAAAAGAATCTATATTACAGCTACAATTTTAAAACTAATAGTACCAAGGTATAACAAACAAGACAAAAATTGAAAAGCTATTGATGTGGCAATGCTGCAAGATAACTGTTGGCACCAATATCAGTGCCTTTAAGGAAATAAATATAAGGGAATAGTTACTCGGCAGTTGATATTAATAATTAACATCCAACTCCTAGCCTCAAAGTCTTTTTCTTTATTATGTGGTGTTTAACAAATATAATATTTAAATAAATAATTTACCCCTTCTTGGACTATGCAAACATGCTTGATCTTACTTGGGAATAATTTGGCAGATTCTAATTTGTATTTCATGTTCCTTAAAGTACTTGCTTGATATGATGGAAGAAGATGAACTTTCCAGGCATACTGAGAAATCCAGTAAGTTCTGGTTCCTGTCTATTTTGCATTCCATCAAAGTAGAATCTCAAGTACAGCACAAAATTTGGGAAGCATCTTTATTTCCTATCACTCTTCTCATTGATTTTATGCCTACTCGAGAAATATTAAAATAGTCCTGTTTTTAAGCTTCATTTTATCTAGAAGTATGGCTAAATTTGTACTGCATAGGAGATAAGCAGTTTTCTAAAGGAGACAGGTAACATATCATAAATGCTGTTATATATCAATAAGCCATACCCAATTATGTAAATGGAAAATAATAATAAAATAATAATGAGTTTTTCTGATTGTCTTACACACTATCTTTTTAAAAATGGCTTTGATGTTTGAAAAGTTGTCTATATCTATCAGAGTTAAGAACCACAATACTTCAGTATGTGGCAGATCACTACTGACTCTGATGATCACTTATCACTGTTTTCTTATTGCATGTAAGAGATCCACCAAAAGAGTTAAATGACATAACCCATGAATAAATGTAGCAGGTCATTCAATGTAGCAGGTCATTCAATGTTGGATGTTGTGTGTGATTACAGATCATCCACTCTGATGCAGAATGCATTTTACTGGTGATAGTATAGATTGATCTTCATGTATTATACAGGAGTGCTTCCTGGCAGTGTAGAATGGAAGATTTACAAATCCTGCAAACATTAGGCACACAACTTTGCATTAAATGGATTTCTGAAGTAGAGCCATTTTAACGCTATTTTCCACTGCATTCATTTGGTAAATAATGACCTACATACAAAATTCTGCAATTCATTCTCAGTAGTGTACACTAAAAAATAGGGAAATTGTGATTGAAACAATATGTAATTAAACAAAATTACATATTGAAATCCTTATAACTGAACTGGAGAAGAGCTACACCAATCATCTAGAACAGGGGTTCCCAAACTTGGCAACTTTAAGACTTGTGGACTTCAACCCCCAGAATTCTCCAGCCAGCTATGCGAGCTTCTGGGAGTTGAAGTCCACAAGTCTTAAAGTTGCCAAGGTTGAAGAGCTCTGATCTAGAATATCTGGCTTTTCCACCATTCTCAAGGGTCATCTCTGCAATATCACAATGAGAAAGAAAAAGTGATGCAGACATAGGTTCAGTGTGGATATCTGGTTCAATGAAGCTCCATTTGACTCAGCTGATAGAAATGGGAATCTGATCATGGTATAAGCTTCCACATTTTATTTTATTTTGTGACTGAAAGAAGAAGTAAAGGAAAGAAGGTAAAAACCAAATCTAGGATTTTTTTAAAATCTAAATTCTGCATTGTAGCACTCGAAATCCAGAATACTGTGACAACAAAGGAATCTACAGGATCCAATTTATTGGCCAAAATGTGGCTGCAAGCCCTGTCCCATTTGTATATTGTGGGACACCATGATACACATTAAAAGGGTGGGTGGAGCTTGAATTGCAATAATGCAGTGCTTTGATTCTTCCCCTTATCCCCAGGCGGAAAGTTCTTTCTGGGAAGCCAGCAATGGAAAGATGAAAAAATTTCTCCTGATCCTTTCCTTTGGTTTTTCATCCCTGCTCTCTGGTTATATTAGACCAGCAAAACAACTGGTTTCCCTATTCCTTAAAAACAGGAAATGGAATGGAAATGATATAGAAGGGGATGAAATCTACAATTTTCTGTACTCTTAGAGGTACATAGAGGTGGAATCCTATAAAGTACAGTTTTACTTTTTATTAGAGAAACAATTCAGAGGGACATGGTCAAATCCAACATTGTATGGGAAGTGGAAGATTGAAAGTATAACACTAGGATTTCTTTTAAACAGGACACCTGCCAAAGCACCAAAACAATTGATGCACTATTTTCACATGTTATTGAGGTGGTATTGAAGTTTTCAAGTTTTATTATTGTTTCTGATAGATTGGAATGTAGCAAATAATAGGAGTAAATAAATACACTAGAGGTGGTATTCAGCAGGTTCTGACCAGTTCTGGAGAACCGGTAGCGTAAATTTTGAGTAGTTTGGAGAACCAGCAAATGCCACCTCTGACTGGAGATTTTACAGTATCCTTCCCCTGCCACACCCACCAAGCCACACCCACAGAACCAGTAGTAAAAAAATTTGAATTCCACCTAATCCACCACTGAAATACACCAATCCTTTTGGTGGGTGGGGTTCTTAATTAACAAGAGCTTTTAAAATAAAAAATTTTTTGCATTAGAGTTGCATTTCTAATTAAAAGGTAAATGAAAATGTTTATTGTTTTCATTGTTCTACAGTTAAAATTTGAGGAGTGACTAAACAGTACTACTGAATTTAATAGAGTTATGTTGAGGTAGCTTTGCCCATTGCATGTATTTAATTGAAAGATTTTATTAATTGCTTTAGGTCATTTTACTTTTCAACTATATTGTAAGAAGCTGTAAGGATGGGTAAGTGTAGATTCTTCTTAGGGCAGATATCAGAATTTTCTGCTAAATTTTGTAATTTAACATTGCAACACTTATTGAATTTGTCGTGTATTCAAATTTTTAGGACATTTTCACATGTATTGCTGAGGAAAACAGTGCATTTGTGCATCTGATTTTGCCTTGCTAAATGTAAATAAAATATTTATTCAGATTCATTTCATATTTTTTGAAGATAGGATCTTCTTCAACCCTATTCCTCCATCAATTTGAAAAATTGAAAGCATCCTCCCTATTCCTTCAGTACATCATTTTTTTAAAAAAAAAATCTACCTCAGAGTCCAGAGCAGAACAAAGCTGCCTCCTGCTTGCAGTTTCTGTCATGGAAGAATTGACTGGGAAGCAAGATGTATTATGTCCACAGGTGTTCCTCGATTTATCAAGCTAGAAACATTATCAAAAGGAAACAGAGGCAGCATCCAGCAGGGGGTTCTGTCAGATAAATCCCATTTTGGCTAAGCTACCAACAAGAACCTTTCTTTTCCTATGCTTATTTCAGCCAATTAAAAATAAAAAATGCGATTTCTTCCGTTCCAACTTGATTTTGCTCCAAATTTAGTAAGCTAGAAAAAAGTGGAATAGATAGCACCACTACTAGATAGACTCACGACTGGTTGACAAACCGTACTCAACGAGTAGTCTTTAATGGGTCTAAGTCTACATGGAGGGAAGTAAGCAGTGGGGTACCACAAGGTTCCATCTTAGGCCCAGTACTCTTCAATATCTTCATTAACGACTTAGATGAGAGAATAGAAGGGGAACTTACCAAATTTGCAGATGATACTAAGCTGGCAGGAATAGCTAACACCCAAGAAGATAGGCTCAAGATCCAAATGGATCTTGACAGACTAGAACACTGGGCCGTATCTAACAAAATGAAATTCAATATAGAGAAAAGTAAAGTCTTACACTTAGGCAAGAAAAACCAAAAGTATACATATAGACTGGGTGAAACCAGGCTCAATTGCAGTAACTGTGAGAGGGATCTTGGGGTCTTGGTGGACAACTAGGTAAATATGAGCCAGCAGTGTGTAGCAGCAGCCAAAAAAGCTAATGCAATCCTAAATTGTATTAACAGAGGGATACAATCAAGATCAAGGGAGGTACTGATTCCACTTTGTAAAGCCTTAGTAAGACCACACCTAGAGGACTGCATCCAATTTTGTTCACATGATAAAAAAAGATGTTGAGACTCTAGAAAAAGTACAGAGAAGAGCAACCAGGATGATCAGGGGATTGGAGACTAAGGCATATGAAGAACAGTTACAGGAACTGGGCTTGGCTACTCTAGTAAAGAGAAGGACCAGGGGAGACATGATAGCAGTCTTCCATTATTTGAGGTGCTGCCACAGAGAGGAAGGAGTCAAGGTATTTTCCAAAGCGCCTGTAGGCCAGACAAGGAATAATGGATGGAAACTGAACAAGGAGAGATTTAACCTGGAAATAAGGAGAAACTTTCTGACAGTGAGAACATTCAACCAATGGAACAGCTTGCTCTCAGAAGTTGTAGGAGTGCCATCATTTGAGACCTTCAAAAAGAGATTGGACTGCCATTTGTCAGAAATGGTGTAGTGTCTCCTGCTTGGGTGGGGGGTTGGGCTAGATGACCTACAAGGTCCCTCCCAATTCTAACTATCTTTATCTGTAAAAAAAATTAGGAAAGAACATAGGATCTTTCTGAAGTAACTCTACACTTAGAAAAAGTATTGAAATATTACATCCCTCAATGCAGCTTGATGATTGTCGTCTCCATGAGATAGTTTGGGCCCAGTGGTGTCTGGAGGAAACTTTGATGATGCAAAATGAAGGTATGTGTAAAATGATGTTATCACAGAACAGCCATGATGTACCTGCATCCTGGAGGAGCCAGGGTTCAGCCATTTTACATGTAGTATTTTCTGTTTTAGCCATTTTATTATTTTGTGGGAGCTTGCTTATTAACGACGATGAAAAGCCGCATGAAAATTAGCCCCCAGATGAATTGATAGAGTCATGACTTCTTTCGCTGAATAAAGAAACCTGACATTGACTTGACTGCAAGTGCTTAGTTTATTGTTTCCTGATGTCAACAAATACTTCACATATACTTCATTGCTGTGCCAATCAGAAGCATTACAAGTCTTGTTTTGTTTTACTGGGGAAAAAACATCACTTTCTTTGTTTTATTAACTTGTTTTGCTTTGTTTCATTATCTTGCCGTCCCTTGTATTGCTAATAAGAAACATCATTTGCTTTGTTTTGCTAAATGCACATGTCCAGCCAACTTATAAAAACAGTTGGTATTTGGTCTGAGGTATGCCAACTTTGAGAGATTATTCCTAGACATTTTTCTGTCTAGACGGAATAAAAATATTTTATTTTATTTTATTTTAATATCTCCACCTCTGGTTTACTTATTAATTGGACAGAGCTCACCAGGCATATACCCAGTCTTTTCTGGGACAACATGATGACTGGTACAAGAATGCAGGTCATGGCATTCATACATGAATGTTAGCACACACATTTCATCATTCTTCTCTTTTCCCCTTCCTCCAGCTACCCATG